CACAAAAATGTTATAATTTGGAGTCCTGACACTGATGTATTTGTCATTGCTTTACATGCAATCAAACATTTTACTGTTAACGTATTATTTGCAACCGGAAATCAAAACAACAAGCGTATAATTAATGTAAGAAAAGTAGCTGATCATTGGGGTAGATCTTTTGTAAACGCTGTAGTTGGCTTTCATTTTTTTACAGGTTAGTTGGTTAACTTAATTTATCTACATTTATGACATGATTTCCCATTCTTTTTTTTGTAAGTTTCACTTACATAATACAAACATTTAAAATACTGTAAAATTGTATAATGTGTTTTCCTTTTAGGATGCGATACTTCAAGTTCATTTTATTGTAAAGGAAAAGCTTCAGTACTTAAGGTTTTACAAAAAAAACCCGAGTATGAATGCATGTTAGCAGAGCTCGGTGAAAATCACATGATGGAATCAGATTTATTTACTAAAATAGAGAAATTTGTGTGTCACTTTTATGGTAATGACATTGTTTCTTCAGTTAACGAGTTGAGATATGAACTCTTCAAAAGTGGCAAATATAGTGAAGAGCAATTGCCTCCAACTTCCGATGCATTAGTACAACACATACTGAGATGTAATTATCAAGCTTATATCTGGAAACATGGCACTATACCTCTATTGAATATGCCAAGTGTTTTAGAACATGGTTGGACGATGGATGGCGACGAAAAGAAGATAAAATGGCTGTCAAATGAAATTTCTCCCGATAGCGTATTAAATTTTATTAATTGTAGATGCGTGACTGGTTGTAATACAAAACGATGCTCATGTCAGAGTGTAGAACTGTCGTGTTCTGATTTATGTAAATGCATTGAGTGCGGCAATAAAAATTCAAAATTTGCCGAAGACAGCAATGATTCTTACAATGAAATAATTTCAAGTGATTCTGATTCCAATAGAGATAATTAATTATTGTAAACTTTTATGTTTGTAAGATAATAAAAATGAATTTAAAAAAGTTAAATGAACAATTAAATGTATTATCAGTTGCTAAAACGATATTTCAAATTAAATTTTAGAATTAAACGATAAAAATCATTTCACTCTTATATACCTATGTAAATGAATGTATAATTGGTTATATATTAAAAATATTTCATATATTTATATACAATTTAGTATTTATGCAGTCATAGCTGCTAAGAACAGTTTTTAGATCACAATTTTATCTTACACGATAAAAATCGATTCACTCGATAATATAAAATTAAATTGTAAATTTCTCGAAAACTGCAAGAGGAAAACTTGGGAACTTTTCAAATTCAGAATCTGTATACTTTAAAACGCAATTTAATTTTATATTATCGAGTTAAATTTATTAAATTTAATTAAAAAGAATTTTAATTAAATTTAATAAATTTATTTACTAAAAACTATAATTAATAAAAAAATATTTAAATTTAATAAAATAAATTAATAATATTTCTTTTTTTAAATTTGATTGTTTTTAAACTTATGAAATATAAAACTTAATATTAAATATGATAAAAAGTTTAAACTTAAAACACTTATTTTTTTTAACTAATTTTTAACAACAACAATGCGGTAATTTTTAACAAATAATGCGGTAGTGGTGTAGTGGTAGAGCGCTCGCTTCATAAACGAGTGGTTCCGAGTTCGATTCCCACCACGTCCCTGGTAGTACCGCGCTCAACTCATTTCTCCGCGCAGCGGCCTTGTTCGTCAAGGTTCGTGTTTCGGAGTTATAGAGTTGAGAGAGGGTTATAGCCACAAAATAAGTAGCCTCCTCGTCTGTAGTGGCCTTCTCGGCCTTGAGGAGGTGAAGTAAAATAAAAAAAAAAAAAAAAACAACAATAAAAATAAACAACAATAACAATAAAAATAAACAAATTTTTCTTTAACAAAAAATCTATTAGTTTACAATTGCGGTTAAATGCTTTTACTAATGACTTTATTTTCTTCTGAATAAACGTCACATAAACGATATCAAATGATAATTTAAATATTTTAAAAGATTAAAGTTTTTGCGTAACGCAAAACTGCTGAACGCGTAGGCAAATCTCCTTTTCGCAGGAAAAATGCAAGCTGCGTAACAATTCTTAACAAGGCCTGATATATATATATATATATATATATATATATATATATATATATATATATATATATATATATATATATATATATATATATATATATATATATATATATATATATATATATATATACAATAACATAACTTATACATACATATAATATATGTATGTATAAATTATGTTGTTGTATATATATATATATATATATATATATATATATATATATATATATACACACAATAACATAACTTATACATACATATAATATATGTATGTATAAATTATGTTGTATGTATATATATATATATATATATATATATATATATATATATATATATATATATATATATATATATATATATATATATATATATATATATATATATACTCAACAACATAATTTATACATACATATAATATATGTATGTATAAATTATGTTGTTGTATATATATATATATATATACATATATATATATATATATATATATATATATATATATATATATTATATATATTATATATTTTATATATATATATATATATATATATATATATATATATATATATATATATATATATATATATATATATATATATATATATATATATAATGTTATTCTACAAATAGAGTACTCAATCTTCTTAAAGAACAGAGCAATAATAAATTAGTAAAAACACTTATCTAATTTTTATCTTCGAGAGCTTGTTTCTCCGCCAGTAGGTTCATCAGGAAGCCTGATAAATATTGAATCTACTGATAAACCTTTCTCATGAACCTACTGAACTTTCTTTTAACCTGTTGTACTGAAGTCATTTTTTTTTAAAGTTTATTTATGCAATTTTTCCTATTTTTTCTTCCAATAACAAATATACAAAATGTGTATAGATTTTCTATATTTAAATTAACACAATTTTCTATAGAGTTTTCTTATAGAGAACAAATGGTCTTAGAATTCCAACTACAAAAAGTCTATAGAATATTTTATTGAATCGCAATTGGCAATCTAAAGAAACCTCTATTTCTATAGGCCATTTGTTTCAATATGCCTATAGAAAATAGTATAAGTTATTTTTATAGAAAAACTAAACAAATTTTGTTATGGGGTAGGGTAAAAAATTAATGACAATTCCATTTTTTTACTTTTAAACTGTATTCTTAACAGTTTAAACACTGTTTGAACAGTTTTTCATCTCGTAGTCTCTGATTTGTCAAATATTCTAAAGCAACAAAATATTCTTTAATCAGAACAGTCCAAGTTCATGAAAAAACTGGATTTAAAACTTCAGTTTATTAACTATGATGTTTTAGAAATTTCAACTCAAAAACACTTTGTTTTTTGACAAAGTTTTATGTCTTAGAATATTATTGATCCGGACAATAGATTTCTAAAACTAAATTCAGGGTATTGATATCAGCAAAATTTGATGTGCATAAGTTTTATAACATTGAATTGAAAAATACTTTACAAATCTAAATTTACGGCTTTAAAACTTCCTAGTGTAAAATTTCTGGCATTAGCATTTTATGCCGATGAAAAGTTTTAAAATATTGACCTCAGTTAGAAAACCATCAAAGCAACCAAAATACATAAATTTTTAAATAAAATGAATTTTTGATATAAAGTATTTATTTTAATATTATTTAGTTTTTTTTTTAGTTATGTTCCTTTTAGAAAGGTTCCATTTAGTTACGTATTTTTTATTCATTTTTTGTTCTTATAATTTACCCAAACTTTAGTTCTGCATCACTGTGCATTGATACAGGTTTTGTAATATATAGACTTTATAATTCTATTTAGTAGACGCATTTATTTTATTGTATCACAATACATTAAAATAAATTCTTTATAGTATTGTTCTTGTTCTCAATTTTTCTCTCTCTAGAAACATTTGAGAACAAGACCCTCTTCAAACTTTGCAATTACCACTTTTATGTAACTTAAATATATTTATTTAAATTACATAATATATAATTTTTATAATTATATATTATGTAAGTTACAAAACTATATAATATATAATTTTGTAACAAACGCATTTATTTAAATTATATAATGTATAATTTTCTTTGTAACTTAAAAGCATTAACTTAAATTTTATAATATACAATTCTCTATGAAACTTAAACGAATTTATTTAAATTAGAAAATATATATTTTTCTTTGTAACTTAAAGACATTTATTTAAATTATATAATATATAATTAGGCATATAATAAAATATAAAAAAGAAAAAAAAAAAAAATTCTCAGTGGAGATAGTATTGCAAATGATATGGTAACCAAAGATGAGACTCCAGAAATGATCATCAATCCATATTCCAAAGCTGCAGCAGCATCTCTCAGTTAAGTTTAACATATTGTTAAAAAAAACTAAATGTTTTTTATACAAAGAAATGTTAAAAGTTTTATTGGATTATTAAAACATCAGAACATTTTAAAAAAATCATATTTAAAATATTTTTTTTTTCTTTGACCAATTACATCCGAGCAAATAAAAAAAAAAAAGTTTAGACAGACCTTAAAAAAAAAAAGACTTGAAGAAGTAAAATTAAAAAGAATGCATTAGCAACAAAATGCGCAGTTTCTATTGATAAGCTTATTTTTGATTATTTATATATGTTGTTTCTTTTCCATGTTTATACTTTCTTTCTATCTTTAGAGAATATTTTCTTGGTTTATATAAAATATGTTATTATTCTATATTTAAATTTTTCTAAAATATAATTACTTTTTATGTTTATGTAAACAAACTATGTACCAATGTTTCCACATTGTGTTTCAACGTTTTTACATTGTGTACCAATGCTCCCTATGTCAGGGTTTCAATATCATATTTAAATTTTATATTATATTTAATGAATGTGAATGAATATTTTGTTTGATAAAACAAATGTTTTAAAAACATTAAAATTACTTGTATAAAAGAATATCAGCTGCCATCAATGCTGGGTAAGAAAGAATTCCCAAGTTTGTGTCATTTTTTGTTTCCTTGCTTTTTGTCTAATAAGTAAAAACACTTTTATACAGAATTAATAACAATTTATGAAATGAAGATCAAATTATATAAAGTAAAAGAGTACCATAAAGCACACACTTATTAATTTAATAAAAAAAATAAAACAATAGTACAAAGATCTCACAATATCAAGCCTTTTGTTGTATAATGTTTTTCATATGTTAAAATATCATAAATTTGGCTTAAATATCTATAATTGCTTTAATAAAAACAAATTTCATCATCTTATTTTAAACATCTTTTTTTTTGAACATTTTCAATTAAAATTTTTTTTTAAAACATGCCTAATATTTAACTCTATTCATGGACTTTTCATTCCAGTTAGCCTCAGCAAAAAACTTAAAGGGTACCACATAATTCCGGCTAAAAAAATGGCACCACAATTTAAAATTTATTATTTAAAATAAAAAAAAACAAAAACACTGCAACCATTTTCTTTTACATGCGCTCAACAAAATCATAAAAAAACTGGTATGAAAATTCAATTTTGGTAACTCTATAAAATCTTTGTCAAACGTTACACCAATTATATTGATACTATATTTATTATAATTATAGTACATACTGCTTGAAATATAATTAAAAATTAATAATGGGAGTTGCTGCAGCAACTTTTTATATTTTATATTATTTCTAATGTTTATGTTCTAATTTATATATTTTCTAATGTTTATTGATAAAATAAACACCACTTGTCTTGGCATAGGGAGATCCCTTTAAACAATCACAGAAAACACATAACCTAACAAATCAATTATTCTTAATATAGATTTAACTAAAAAAGCACACACATAGCTACCTGCAAACTTTAAATATAAAAAATACGCAGCCTAACATTTTAAAACAAGACATAAATGTTACTATGGAATACTATTTACCTTCCATTGGTGCATCCTAGTAAGCCTTCCCACAGGAGTTAAACAACCAAGAAACCAAGAGAGCTCTGTGTGATAAGAAACCTATATTTAATTTACAAAAAATATATATACAAAATATTAACATATTACCAACAAAGATACTTAATATATAATATATGCAAAATCTATTGATAAAGAAACTACCTGAGACAATCTATCAATAGAGAAACTACCTGAGAAAATCAATCAATAGAGAAACTACCTGAGACTGCTGAAAGATTAAGCTTTGACTTGGATTTATACCACAAGCCAAAAGAGAAGCAAGCATGTTAAATATATTGTCTTTCATTTCATTAGAGTCCTGGACACGAGTGTATGAATGTAGGTCCATAATACAAAACATAACCATATCCTTATTATTTTTATTTTCAGATTGAAGTTCAACCCAGTGACGGATTGCACCAAGATAATTTCCAAGATGTGGGACACCAGTTGGTTGAATTCCAGAAAATATTCGTCGAAAATTTGATAAACTCATCTAACTTATATTTGCATAAATATTTTATTAAAAAGATTAAAAACTCTCCAAAAAAAACTCTAGAAACTTTTTTTAAAAAACAAATAAATACTTAAAAGAATTTTTAAAATGAGAAAAAAACAATTTTGTAAGGTTATTTAATCACTAAACAACGTTAACTTTTATGTTAAAATGTTCAACTTCAAATAATCTTATTAAAAAAACAACATCAACTTTTATGTTAAAACGCTGAACTTCAAACAATCTTATTAAAAAAATAACGTCAACTTTTATTTTAAAATGGTCAACTTCAAACAATCTTATTTAAAAAATGAAAAAAAACAAACAATTAAAATAGGATGACAAAAACTTTATTAAACAGTGTACAATTTTTTTTGTTTTATAAATACAAATATTCTTGATACTTTAAAAATATATCTTACAATATTTCAAAGTAACAAAAAATAAGACATAAAACATGATTTTATTAAGAAACTCATAACTTTAAAAAACCTAAATATACTGCGAAAAAATGAAGAATTTTATGCTAAAAGTCAGACTGATCAGTTAAATGTTAAATAAAATATCGAACATAAAAAAAAGAACTCATTGTATAAAAACATTACACAATTATGTAAATACAATTTATTAAACTATTATTAAAAATTTTCACTTATAAAAAAAATGCAAACTAATTTATTTTTAAAAATGTTATAAAAAAAGTTATATTTTAATTATGCATAAGAATTCGGTTGAGCTAGTCTTGTACTAGTAATTAAACAGTTATTAAAACAATGGCGGGAGAACTTTTCCTTCCTTTTCTAACTCTTGTCGATACCTAAATATTAAAAATTTAGCAAGATCTTTTTTAAACAAAATATAGATTAAAACAATAAATATTTAATTGTATGATGGAAATTAACAAGTTTATTTTATACTGATTATTAGGTTCATTATATCTTAAAAAGTTTTAAATACTTGCTATTGTTTATACTATAAGTAAAAAAATAAGTAGTAAACATATTTAATAGTAATAAAGTATAAACATGATAAACTAGCATAAAATATAAATAAAATACTGTCTTTAAACTTTTAAATAAAATAAATTTGAAATTAAAAAGATTAATTTTAATAAATTTAAAAACAAACTTGAGCAACAATAATTTTGTTGTTTGAATCTATGGAACAAAATCATGTCTGTGGTACAAAATCTAATTTACTATGGTACAAAACAAAGTTAAACCATGGGATGAAATGTAAGCAAAGCATAGCAACTATTAATAAGATAAACTAGTTTGTAGGGCGGTTCAGCTTCTGTAAACAAAAAATTAAAGTCAACCAATTACAGAGGCACTTTGATATTTATGTTCTTTTTTGACCTATAAAACAAAACTATGAAACATTATTGAAATCAGAAAATATTTAGAACTGCCTCATGGGACCTAAAGTTGGCAGATTTTTCATTTTCAGGCTTGATTTTTAAAACATTTACTTTTGTACCTATTTCCAAGAGCTAATTAGTAATTACTATTATTACCTGCAAAGAATTTGTATTTAGTATTTATTTACTTACTTATTAGTTGGGAGATTCCATGTAAAAACATCCAGGGCATGCAACTCTATGTCTCAGATTTTGCTGATTTTTAAACCACTTAAAGATTTTAGTAAATTATGAACATCCTGAAAATTTTATCACCTAATTTCAATCGGTTCCTAAGATATAGCTATTTTAAGTTTGCCTCCAACCAACAAAAATCCGCCATTTTTAAAAATGGTTTTGGTCCTAGTTTCTCTTATATGTGTGTTGGAAAGCTGAAAATTTGTACCTTTACATATTTTACTTCACCTCCTCAAGGCCGAGAAGGCCACTACAAACAAGGAGGCTACTTATTTTGTGGCTATAACCCTCTCTCAACTCTATAACTCCGAAACACGAACCTTGACGAACAAGGCCGCTGCGCAGAGAAACGAGTTGAGCGTGGTACTACCAGGGACGTGGTGGGGATCGAACTCTGAACCACTCGTTTATGAAGCGAGCGCTCTACCACTACACCACTACCGCATATTACACCACTACCGCATACTTAAATTTATTGCTTAAAAAACAGGTATTTTGATAAATTAAACTATACAAAAAGATGTGATAATTTGACAGTTCTGTAGCTGAAACAGTTTTGGTTATATCGAAATGTTTTTTTAGATGTTGTTGAATTGCTGTTTCTATTTTTTTAGTAGTTTTATGATTTAGAAATGTTTATAAGGTTGTAAAATTAAAGTTAGAATGCTTACTAATTAAGTTAAAATTTCTAATCCTAAACAACCTTGACCCCATGAACACATTGAATGAATCATAGATTTTTCTTGCATCTTTTTTAGAAATAATAAATAATAGTATATTGATTAAATGGAATTTTGTGGTTTTGGAAAAGTTTTAAAAGATGAATGTCACAAAATATGTTTTGTTCGAAAACAAGGATTAAAAGATTTTTGTAATCTAGAAAAGGACTTTCAAGATACTTATATTTGGAGGTCTAGTTTGCTTGAGACTACATCATACGAAGAGATTAAGTCTATTTGTTATCATCATGAGCAGGTTTTTGGACCAATATTTCTACTAAAGAATGATAAGTGTTGTGATGTTTTTAAAAGACACAAAAAGAAGGTTAAAAGTAATATATATATATTTATATATATTTATAATTCACCTCCTCAAGGCCAAGAAGGCTACTACAGACGAGGAGGCTACTTATTTGTGGTTATAACCCTCTCTCGACTCTATAACTTCGAAACACTAACCTTGACAAATAAGGCCGCTGTACGGAGAAACAAGTTAAGCGTGGTACTACCAAGATGTGGTGGGGATCAAACTCGAAACCAAAAAATATATATATATATTTATATACACACACATATATATATATATATATATATATATATATTTATATACATATATATATATATATATATATATATATATATATATATATATATATATAAATTTAAAAGCAGAGTATGTTTATTAAAAATTAATGATTTTATTTTAGGTCAAACAACCATATCTCTTGAAATGGCTCATAACCTTAAATCCAAAAATCTAGACTGTAAACCAGGATGGAAATTTGTCGTTCATGTTTTCAGTTTTTTTTTTCAAATTGTGATGAATTTTCTGATAATGAAATGGATTGTGAAATTGATGGTGATGTATTATTTGTTAAAGATAAATCTTGTAATAAACAACAGTTAGACAACTCTTTAATATCAATTGGAGTCTCACCAATTAAAGTTCATGGTGTCGCAAAGCATCAACGAGTTGTAACAGCAAAAAGAAAATTAGTCAAAGCCTACACAAAAATGGAAGGTGTAGCAAGTGCTTATGGAGTAAATATAGATAACTTAAGTGTAGCCTCGACTTTTTCCAGTCATCCTATGGATAAAAAAAAGCAAATGATCTTGATCATTTGACAACTTTAATGAAAGAAAAACTTAAAGTTGAACCATTTAAAAAAAAAAAATTCAAATATTAACACTTACACTTAAATCTTGGTCTAGAAAATACGCTTCAGAATATTTTGAAGTTTCTGAAGATCTTATACAACGTGCTAGGAAACTTAAAAGTAAAAATGGAATTCTTGCTATACCTGATAAGAAAATAGGCCAAAAAATACCTGACTTTCTTACAGCTTTGGTTCAAGATTTTTTTCAACAAGATGAACATTCTAGAATTATGCCTGGTAAAAAAGATTGTGTTAAAGTTAAAAGTGATCCTCCACAACAAAAAATATTATTATTGTGCAACCTTCATGAGCTTTATATTGATTTTAAAAGTAAATACTCTAATTATAAAATAGGATTTTCAAAGTTTTGTAGTTTGCGTCTAAAATGGTGTATTAGTGTGGGACCAAATGGTACACACTGTGTATGTGTTTGTATTTACCATCAAAACTCAATATTGCTTGTAAATGCTGTCCAATCGAATTTTACATACAAAGATTTAATGTCAAAATTAGTATGTGAAGCAATAATGAATGCATGGTTCATAGATGTGCCAAATGTCCAGGTTATGATAACTTAAAGGCATTTTTAGATGAGGAATTAATTGAGATTGATGAAGAAGAAGAAATTTGATTCAACCAATGGCAAAGTACTGATAGATCACAATTAATTACTCAATCAGTTAACTTATTTGAATATAAAGAACTAGTTGTTTCTCACATTAAACATCTAACTTCACATTCATATATTGCTAAATGCGAAACTCGCTATTTGAAAGAACTAAAAAATAATTTAGGTTACAATGAATGTATTATACAGGCAGATTTTGCAGAGAACTATCAATTTGTTATACAGGATGAAATACAAAGTTATCATTGGAATAAACAACAATGTACACTTCATCCTGTTGTTATATATTTTAAGGAATTTTCTAAAGCAAATATTCAGCATAAGTCATTCTGTTTTTTAAGTGATAACAATGATCATGATACATACTTTGTGTATGAATTTCAAAAGAAAATTGTAGAGTACATTATTTAGTTGGTATCAACAAAATTTATTATTTTTCTGATGGATGTTCTGCTCATTATAAAAACTTTATAAAGCTATGCCACCATAAGGAATATTTCGAGATTACAGCTGAATGGGTATTTTGTGCAACCAGCCATGGAAAATCCACTTGTGATGGCATAGGTGGTATCATTAAAAGAATAACAGCAAGCGCAAGTTTGCAAAGGCTATTGGAAAACCAAATATTGACAGTTGATGATATGCTTGAGTTTTGCATCACCAATATAAACACAATCATATTTTATAAAATTTCCAAAGAAACAGTTAATGCAAGGAGACAGCAACTAAAGGAGCAATTTGAAACAGGAAAAACTGTTCTAGGTACCAGAAGTTATCATCATTACATACCTATTTCAAAATTTGAAATTAGTTTTAAAAGAACAAGCAAACATCAATGTGTTGACAGATTTATACTGTCAAAAGCAGTAATGTCTGATGTTGTTATTGTACCAAATCTAAATGATTTTGTTGCATGCAAGTACGATTCCTTTTGGTGGATAGGCATGGTTACAGAGATAGATATTATTATAAATGATATTCAAATTAAGTTTATGCACCTTTATGGCCCTTCTCAAAACTTTATTTAGCCACAGAGAGATGATATCTGTTGGGTACCATTGTCAAGTTTGATTGCAGTAATCAAAGTCCCAACAACAAAATCAGGGCGAAAATATAACATTGATGTGAATGATTATAACACAATAACTGATAAATTTTAATTTTTTTGAGTTTTTAATTTTCCGAGTGCTCTATTTGTTTTAGAGTCTTTGTTTTTTAAGTTTATCAAATGAAGTTTGATAAATATGAAACTAATGTTTTATAAGTAATAAATTTAAGTATATTTGAAGATGTTTTTATTTCTGATTTAAGACTACAATCTGATTCTTTGTAATAACTAAACTATTTAATACAACTTCTTAAAAAAAAACTAAATTTGCAATATATATCTGCATTTATATAATTCTCCCCCTTTGAAACTAAACTTTTTCAAGATCAGATTCTTAAAAATTACAAAGAAAACAGAAACAGCTAGTCAACAACAACTAAAAGAACAGTTTGATGTAGCCAAAACTGTTTCAGTTGAAAAACTGTCAAATTACCACATTTTTTTTCTTGTTTAATTTGTCATAATACTGTTTTTTAAGCAATAAATTTAAGTAGATTTGACCATATTTTTATTTCTGTTTTAGAAAAGACCACTCTCCAATTCTTTGTAGTAACTATAGCTTAACTATTCAGGACAACTTCTAAAAAAAAAAAAAATCGAGCTACATCGGCATTTTTGTGATTGGACTCGCCCCAGTAAAATTGTGGTAAAAGTTCAAATTTTAGGTGTTATGCTTGTTTTTAAATATTTTAAATTGTTTCATTGGATTCGTTGGCCCAAAATATGTAAAGGTACAAATTTTCAGCTTTCCAACACACATGTAACAAAAACTAGGACCAAAACCATTTTTAAAAATGGCGGATTTTTGTTTGTGGCTGAAACAAGATCAAAAACTTATATTTATTTGATTGGGGAACCAGAACCACATTTTAGTGGCAGAGTTTTGCCCACAAGTTTGGAAGTTTTAAGAATATATTTTTTCCATCATAAAAAGAACAGTCAAACTCTAAAAGATGCCATAAAAACTGTAGTCCAGTATTAGTGTAAAATCTGGGCCAAAACTAGAATTCCAACTGCTGAACATAGAAGTATTATTCGTAAAACTGAAGCTTTATTGGAAAGATACAGAAATTTTTTTTTTGTTATTTACCTCCTCAAGGCCGAGAAGGCCACTACAGACGAGGAGGCTAATTAATAGTGGTTATAACCCTCTCTCAACTCTATAACTCTGAAACACGAACCTTGATAAACAAGGCCGCTGCGCGGAGAAACAAGTTGAGCGCGATACTACCAGGGACGTGGTGGGGATTGAACTTGGAACCTCTCGCTTATGAAGCGAGTGTTTTACTACTACACCACTACCGCATTTTTACACCACTACCGCATTTTTTAAAATATGTCCATAGCTCGTTTCGAACTTGGATCTCCTGCTTATAAAGCAAGCGCTCTAACCACTACGCCACGGCCGTACTGTTTCAAAGAACAAAAGTCGTGGTGGGCCGGCACAGCAGGTAAAAGAAGAAGATTTTTGAACTCAGTAAATTGTCTTTTTGATAATACTCATCACGATGCATTGAAGCTGATAAAAATAGAAGAAGACCAAATATTTCTTGCAGACCAACATTCAGAAAGAAAATATGGGAGGTGTAGATTGAACTTTGGCAGAAAAAGAAGAAAGTAAAGAATCAAGAATGTTTAAAGGAAGTTCAACATGGTATCAATAAAAAGGAGAGAAAGCGAAAATCCAAAGAATGTCTGGAAATAGAAAAAGAATTATTGTCATCATCAGATACTTCATCTATCGATGAAGACTATATGGTTCAACAACATAACAATTTTGTTGAGGAACATTGTCAGAAAAAATCTGCATCAACTTCTAAACATACAAAGGTATCTGCTTTAGATGTTATTCCTTCAGCACTTGTATCTGCACTTGATTGTACAAATGTTAATGACAGAAAAGCAGCATATACTTTAATAGCAGCCATCCAAATGTATGGTGATGGTGAAATATCAAAATTAATAATATCTCGTAGTAGCATTAGAAGAAGCCAAATGAAGCATTGTTTTCAACATTATACTAACATTAAGGCAGCCTTTAGTTCGACGGGATATTTGGTTATTCATATCGATGGAAAACTTTTGCCAGCAATTTCAGGTGGACCCGAAAAAGTTGATCATCAGGCAATTCTAGTTTAAGGATTAGGAACAGAAAAACTTTTAACAATTCCTAAAGTGGCACAAGGGACTGGTGACCTTATAGCAAATGCAACAATGGTTGCTATTTCTGATTGGACTTTGAAAAATCAAATAGTTGCAGTTTCTTTCGACACTACGGTATCAAACACAGGTTGACTAAATGGTGTGTGCACAATTTTAGAAAGAAAACTTGAAAAAAATCTGCTCTGGTTGACATGTCTCCATCATGTGCATGAAGTTCTGTGTGGCGATGTCTTCAAGGCAGTTTTCCGTCTATCCTCTGGTCCAAATATGCTGTCGTTTTGTCAATTTCAGGAATATTGGTTAAACATAGACCAAGAAATATATACAGCTTGCACCGATCATCATGTAAATGAAGAAATTAAGAAATTGAAGAGAGAGGTATTTGATTTAATTTTAGGAGTGTTGAATGGAAAGGCAGGGCATTTACCCAGAGAAGATTATTTTACTTTGATCTTTCTTTGAGATATTCCACCTCGAGGCATACGGTTCCAAGTTCTTGGTGCTTTTCACCGCACAAGGTGGATGTCTAAAGTAATTTATGTTTTAAAGATTTTCTTATTTCAAACTCAATTTAAGCTCATCAAATGGGAAAGTTCAGGGTGCTTGGAATTTGGTTTTTTGGCCTCAAAGAAAACCTCTAAGGCACTAAAAGTTGCTGATGATAGATTTCCCAATCCAAAGATTTCCCAATCCAAAGAAATCAACGTTACTTTCAGATGTTGGTTGTAACCAAACAGTTAACTGAACACATAGAACAAACAGTGAAAACTGAACATTTTTAATGGAAAAGTATAAAAACAAAACTTTCTTTTAATTTACTGCAAAGATATAAAATTTGTTGCATATTTTTTATGTTAATATAAAAAAATTTAAATTTTTTGGAATATTTTTAAAAATAACTAAAAATGCTGAAATTTCGAGGTCGATGAGGCAGTTCTAAATATTGTCCGATGTTCTTCAAATTATTTATGGTGTATTTACAAAGCAAAAGGGACATAAAAATGCAAGTGCCTCTAAGATATGAAATCATTTTATTTTCTGAACCACCCTACTAGTTAGAGATGACTATTTGCCTTTAATAATAGATACAACTCGGAGAAGTATAACTGCATTTTTATTAAAACTTGAATCTTGTATTTTAAAATATCAATTAAACAAAAAGTTAAAATAACTTTAAATCAAAATCAAGAACAATAATAAATTGCTCTTTTTTTAATACAAAATTATTTTAATGTGATTGATTGTAATGATCTGATGAGGGGAGAAGGAATTTGCTAAACTTTTGGTAGACTACCAATAATTGTAATGAAAGATTTAATTAAGACATTAGCAATCTTTTAGTTGCCCAAAAAGTAAAATTTAACCTTACACTAATTGGCAGGGTTATAAACTTAAATTTACACCACTACCAAGTTACATTAGCACATCCAAGAAATAATTTAAAAAACTTACAAAAGAACTCTACAACACTGAGTTGCACCAACACCTCCAAGAAATAGATTCACAGAAAATAAATACCAATTAACGGGAATAATAACAGTGCAGTATCTGCTCCAGATGCAACCTAAACACAATACATTTTATTTTCTAAGAATTTTAAAAAAAAAAATTTATTAAAATAAAAAATCCTAAAATAATTATACCAGTTAAACCAAGCGACAATGATTGAGAAAAGCTTAACTTTTCAACAGGACGTTTCAAGTCTGACAAACCCGCAATCACTAAACCCTAAAAATGAATTAAAAAACCATAAATTGGCATCGACATTAGCTTATTCAGTCACTTTTTGCATAATTGGAATCAAAAACTTTTTTTTATTAATTTACAAATTTTCCAAACCATTTTTATTCTGCATTATGATAATAATTAAATTATAAATAAACTAAACTTTATGCATTACTTAGAATTGTTTTTAATTGTCTATTTTGACTTTGTTTACAGGCAAATTTATTTATTTTAAGATGATGTTTATAAGCTTTAATTTAACAGCTAAATGTACTTATACTTTTATTACCATAATGTTGTTTTTAAAATAATTTTATTTTGTATTAATCTATTGTTATACTTAAAAGTAACCTATTTAAGCATTGTTATCTATGTGTGTTCATGAATAGTCTACTATATTTCTATATGATTTTTGTTTAGATATCTAAATTACTAATAAATTAATAAAGAATTATAAGTAAACTGCTTATCTTAGTACCGTTTTCTTTTTAAAATTGAAATAAAAAGCGTTCCTCAAAAGTTGTATTTATTTTTTGGAAAGTTTTCTTTTCATTGTAAAAAAAAAAAAACTAAAAAATGTATATTTTATTAACTGAGTTTTTCTAATATCTTTTAAAATAATAGTTTGGCTCTGATTTGGGTCCAATTATTTGTTTACCAGTACTGATTCCATGAAAAAGTTTACACGATTTAAAGTTGTATGGTTTTATATTTTCAAAATTTTAATAATTAGTCAATTCATTGGTATTGGCATCTTTCCATCCATTGCCATTGGCCACAAATGTGCTATTGGTACATCACTAACTATTACTACTACTATCTATATGCAACTCTTTTTCTTTATTTTATTTTTCTGTGCATTGTTGTTATCAGACATTCAAGTGCCTTAATAATTTAGTCTGTGATTATACGTATTAATATGTCACATGAATGTCGATGGTGTGAAAGCTGTTAATTGTTAGTTTTTGCTTGTAAAAAAAATAACAAGGCTTTCATGTTTAAACTTAACAAAAACTATTTTTCTTCTCTTAACAGCCTTTTAATAAGCCTCAAGAGATGCTTAGGTGATTTTGAAATGTGTTTATTTTATTAAAAAAATAATAATAAACTTCAAGTTTATTTTTTAATGTTTTTACTCATAGTATTAAAAATACTATAACAATTTTGTTTCTGTGAGAAAAATTTTTAATCTTTTTGGACAAATTAGGGGTTTTCTTTCAATGTTGAAACAAAACTTGGTACCCATTATACCACTTGAAATAACTCAATGTTATTAAACTTTTTTAAAATTTTGGTAAAAAAATTGTTAAAAACCATTTTTTTTTTCTTGAAAAAATATTACAAATGATCATTTAAAAATTAATACTTAAAAGTAACTTTTAACAATTAAAAAATGACGTAATATGAGAGGAGAAAGAAAAATTGTATTTAAAAAAATATATTTTTAACTACATTAGGCTTTACTGAAGTTAAACCTATTGTTCTGGACTTTATTAAATTCATATTGCAGCGCAGCTAAAGTTGTAACTCATATTAAAATTTTTTTAACAAATATATTTTTAATGATACTCACTGATTTAAGTTAATAGAGTTTCAGCTCCCAATCTTGAATTAAATAAAAATGAAATAATAAATAAAATATATTATCGAATTTTTAATTATAATTTCTGTAATATATAAATATATGTGATTATCTAGTGGAAAAACACAACTCCAAGTGGAAAAGCATATATTACACTGAATTGGAAAAAATAAATTTAATTAAAAAATGATTTTTTAAAATAACTGCTATAAAAACATTTAATTTAGAACAAATAATTTAACTTCAGACATAACAACTTATTTGCTTTATATTATTTATGAAATAACTTTTATCGCTACCTCTGATATTATAAAATAACTTGTAAGGCTACCTCATGATCTCATTAAAGCTTTGTTTATTATTTGACTTTACAGCAAAACTTTTTTTATTAGAGAGGTAGTAAAACAACAAGTAAAATTATTCATCTTAAGCTTTTTATTTAGATTAGAATTATTTAAGCTTTAAAAAAATATATATTAAAAAAAAATTGATAATCATTCTGCATTTTTGCTTGGTAAAAATAATCAAGTTTTTCATTTTTGAAATCCATAAATTATGTCATGCAATTTTTGACATTTTTTGACCCCCACCCCCTCTAAATCGTAATGCATGTGAATTCCGCTTCCGGCTAATAAACCAAAGGTTCTAGGTTTGTCTCTTGGTGACAAAATTTTTCTATTTTTTTTTTGTAAGTGCACAAAGGTTGTTTTTTTTGTTGCTGCACACTTTTTTACAACTAAATAAAGTTCTGCATTCGGACCATACAAAGTCAAAGCGCAGAACGTACACTGCACATGAATTGATACAACTGTAGGTGCAATGCGTTATGCCTATGGCTGTAACAGTCGGTTAACAGGCTGTAACTACTCCATTAACAGAGTGTACACACCGACTAAGTAAGATTTAGGCACAGTTGAGTTTACAACCAGCATGTAGATACATCAACTGAGGGTTGTGGTTAGTCAGATACTATTTTAATTAAAATAAATTCTTCTATAGATTTAATACTTAAAAATAAAATATTGTGTCAGAAAATCAAAGATCCCATTCCCCTGTGTAACAAAGCGTCACAAAATCGCCTATCCCTCCCAACCCACCCCCGCCTAAAGCATTACGTAATTTATGGACGACCCTTTACAGTGACTGGAATGACTTTACCCAGCAATTTTAGAGTAATGACTAATTTAAAAAAGATAAAGCACAATTTTTTGTAAAATAAGGAAGGTGCAAATTGTTATATTATTTATAGAAATAATTTTATTAAAAATCTTATTGTAAAATAATTCAGCACATTATCTGGGGGATTTTGCTATATTATAAAAAAGTTTAAATTATATTGCAGTTTTTTTTTCTTCTAGAAACATATCTTGCTCTTATCGTGCAGCATTATCTATGTATTATTCTGTATATTACATTTTATGTATTATTCTGTATATTACATTTTATGTATTATATTGTATACTACTTTGTATCCATTATTCTGCAAACTACATAATTATATAAAAATAAATAAATAATAATATAAAAATATCTACAAACAAAGAACTGTACAAAATCATCATAAGTATAGTAAAGTATTGCAGGGATGCCGATTAAAACTTAAACTATCAATAATAATGTGTGCAGACTTGGACAGGAATGCCATGCAATCACACGCAGTAACTGACTACACTTATAATTTTTTTTCCTTTACAATTTGACTATGGCTGTTTTAATGTTTTAACAATTTCTGGGGGATTTACTGTTTTTATGTTTTAGCAATTTAATTTTATTCGTTGATGTTTTCTAAAGGTTTTATTTTACACGAAGGCTTTTAATAAAATAAAAAATTAATTATAACAATTGTTTAAAATAAACACTTTTTGTGTAAATTTAAAAAAAAATGTAGTATATAATCTTTTTTATGCACCCATGTATTTTTTATGATAAATTTAAAGGTTGGAAACTATTTTTCAATGTTTTTCTAAAAATCTTTTTAGCGGTTAATTTATTTTTTTTAGCATTTATTTTTTGCAAGATTTTAAATAAAAGTTTAAAAATTTTTGCGGCTTGCTGATTAAAACGAGTGTATATAACATTTTATATAAACACAAGAATATTATTTTTTATTATTATTATTTCAATTTATTTGCATTTAAATAAAAATACAAAAAGGTGATACAGGTAATTGGAGAATTACTCTTATGTAACACCAAGTTTAAAACAGTAAACAGTGTCTCTGAATATTGTATATTTTTAAATTCAATTTAAATAGAGACAATGAAGAGGAATACACCAAATAATCAGGTAAAGAATTCCATATCTTAGTAACTCTTTCACTGAAAAAAAAATCTCCTTATATCATTGATGTAGTTGTTACGTGATGTTATATAAAAAAACTTTATTTACTTATATAAGCATGTATTTTGTTGAATAATGTAAAAGTTTTGAAGTACTTTGTAATGTTTTTATCTTACTATTTTTTTAAATCTTTTAAATAAATATAAAAATTTTTTTTTTTTGCAACTTTTAGAAAAAATGTTTTTACAATTTAAAAATATTATATATATGCTTTTACATAATTTAAATTTGTTCATATATTAAACAATCATTAGAAGTAATTTGTTACTTAATGTAAAAATATTTTACGTAACTTTTAATAAAATGTTTTAAAAGAAAAGATTTAAAGTAATTTATTTCAAACGCAGTTAAAAGCGTATATAGTGCTTACATATTTTCTTTTTTATAAGGAATTGTTTTCTTTTTTCTTTAGTATTTTATTTTTGTCTAGAAAAACCATAATAATAACTCAAAAATATGGATCAATGAAGGGAGTAAATTTCAACAAAATGAGAAAAAGGAAAAAGACAAAAAAAACAGGCAAATAAAAAAAAATAACAATAATAAAACAACAACTTCTGAAATGAAAAAACCAATCTCAATGTAAAGAAAAGTGTTTGTATCTGGTTACAAGCAGTGCCATAATTGCAATGATAAAATTATATGAAATTTTTTATCCATTATAAAAACATGTGGTAAAACAAAACTTAATTTTACTTTATTATGAAATTTATAAAATAAAATACTAAAAAATGACAATTTATTTTCATAACATTATTAAATCACAAAATCATAAATAGATCAGTATTTATTCTAAAAATATGAATATCTATGTAGTGTTGCAAAATTAAAAATTCTTACTGATTTAAAAAAAGGTGCCCAGAAGTGAATTGTTTTTGGACCTAGAAATAATGAATTTATGTTTTATATATTAAAGATCTAAATTTTTTAATCTTGATTTTACTATATATCTTTATTATGCTATATAACGTAACAAAAATAAATAAATAATAGCAATAAAAATTTAAATACTACTAAAACACTTTTAGCGAAAACTTTTTGAAATAAATTTGAAAAAGTTAGAATAATTACCACATAAATGCAATCCAAGTATTATTAACAGTAAAAACTACCTGCTGGATGTTGCCAGAATGGCATCATTTTTGCTGGAACCCTTTTCTCCAGTAACATAATCACTCGAGTGTAAACTGCAGACATTATTTTGTTCTATTACTGAAATTAACATTAAAATTAATTTTAATACTCTCTACAATAATCTATATAAAAGAGTAAAATAATGACAAAAATTCAAACAATGATGATATAAATATAGCAATAAATAATAATAATAATAATAATAATAATAATAATAATAATAATAATAAAGTATATTATATTATTTATTTTTATCAAAATTAATATATTTAAAATTTTTTATGTTAAACTTTGATATTTTACAAAAAATCTTTATTACTGAATTCTAAATAAAAGTCATTAATAAAACATAAACTTTTATCAACATTAAAAAAAAAAAAAAACATATAAGAGAGATGAAATCTTAAAACTTCTGTTTAGTATTATACAACAAACTTATATATATATATATAGATTATTAAAAGTATTTTATATTTCAATTATTACACTTTCAATTATCTCAGATAAGTATACAAGTGACATATAGAATATTTTCATTTAAGATTAGTTAGTTGCAAAAGTTTTATGATTTATTTTGATGCTATTTTTACATTTTATTTGTTAGTTCATTGGTAACTTTTCATTGGTAACTTTTGTTAAATAACTTCTTAAAGCTGGAAATCAGAAATTATGTTATTTTGGTATATCACTCACAACTTATTTCTGCTAACCAAAAAGTCAAACAACTATTATTAACTCCAACACTTGATTATTTGAACAATTTGAATTTTTTTACAAACTGTTGAACATCATCTTTAGGATATGGTTTAAGTGCGATGCATGTAGGATAATTTTCAGGTTGTTCTGTCCATACTTTATGCAAAATATTATTTTCTTTAAGTAACAAAGCAAGATTTCTCAATGTTGTTTCATTATCAGCCTGAATAAAAGAAAGCTATTAAATTTTGTTTTGTAATGCTTTTTTATATGCATAACTTCATTTTGTAAATTAAATGTAATAACAACTATAAAAAATGATAGCAATATGCCTATATATGCTAAATACTAACAACATTGATTACATATGCTTCACTTTTACTCTTAACATAAAATAAACATAAAATAAAGGCATCAAAGTTTGAACCAGTAAATATTGAAGGTCATCTTGTAAAAAGTCTGTTATATATATATATATATATATATATATATATATATATATATATATATATATATATATATATATATATATATATATATATATATATATTAACATCTTCGCTTCCAACAAGACTGCAAACAACCACTATTAGAGTTGAAAGTTACTGGAAGAGAAAAGATAAAGATTTTAGAGCAAGATAACGATTGACAGACGACTTAAAAGATTGCAAATTATATGAATCAGGAAAGCAAGAAGAAGGAAACGAATTCCAAAGAACTGATGTTCGAGGAAAAAAACTAGACAAGTAAGAGTTTTAGGAGCATTTAGGAACAGTCACAGAAAAAGGATGAGACTTAATTAAATGGCAAGTAACACGAAAATGAATTTTAGTAGATAGCACAAGAGATGCTAGCTCTTTAGAGCAGTGCCCATTATAGTATTTGTAAAAAAGAGAAAGAGAAGCAACATTACGACGATATGATAATGGTTAAAGGCTGGCTGCAAAAGCAGATCCAACTATGTTTACAATACGCTTTTGCACCTTGTCTAAAAGAGAAAGGTTATCATAAGAAGATCAGCCCCAGATATGGCAACAGTATTCCATATAAGGACAGATTTGAGATTTATGGAGATAGAGAATAGAATCCGAAGTAAGAAAGTGTCGAGCTTGATAAAGAGATGCAACCTTAGCAGATGCTAATTTAGCAACGGATTTGATATATGGTTTCCAAGAAAGATTGGAAGTAACAGTTAATCCTAGAAGATGAAGGGTAGATGACTTATCAAGTACATTACTGTTCATAAATATAGGAAGCTCTAAATTATTACTAAAACGACTAGCTGAAAAAAGAGTTTTATCTGAATTAAAGTTCACCAGCCACTCTGAGCGCCATGCTGTAGCAGAAGTGAGATCCTTTTCAAGCTCAAATGCCCCCTCCAAGCAATCAGTGTTGGCTTCTTATCATGACAAGAATAAATGGTAGTATCATCAGCGAACAACGCCACCTTAGATGTGAGAATATCTGGATAACCATTAATGTAAATTAAAAAGATTATATGGCCAAGGATTAAATCTTGAGGAACCCTTGAAGTTACAGAAAATGAAGAAGAGTGGTGTCAATCGAGGACAACTTTTATACTACGATTGGAAAGGAAGGATTCAATAATCTTAAAGATGTTACCAGATACACCATAGGAAGAAAGCTTATGGAGAAGACCAGCATGCCAAACTAAATCAAAAGCTTTAGAAATGTCAAGAGTGATGGGATATATATATATATATATATATATATATATATATATATATATATATATATATATATATATATTAAAATAAAAATAGCATCAACATGGTCAAGCATGCTTTATCAAAAAAAATATATTCCCTTTTTGTTTAAAAAAAAAATCTTTACAATTGTAGGTTTTCTCAATTATATGTAATATTTTATAAGTAAAATCAGCTAAAACCTGTAAAATAACTTTGTGCATATTATCCAAGTCTTCTAAATATAGTTTTGTGTGCTCGTCATCCTTGCAAATTTGTGTGATAGCTATACATGCATGGCATGCCTGAGCTATAACAGCTCCAAAAGGCCATCGCAATGTATCAAGAAGATCTTTTCGTACGATGACGTATTGGACTATTTTTAATGACATTTTTATCAATAGTTATTTGTATATACTTAAAAATTTTCTGAAAAAAAAACTTTACAGCATGATACTTTGATTGCCTAGAATAGAAACAAATAAAAACTAATATGGTAAAAAAATAGTTTTTATAAAAAACTAAACTTCTCTTGTAACTCTAAAAACTATACTTCTTTTGTAATAAATTAAAGAAATTGTATATATATCTAAAACATAATTTTGGTGTAAAAAACATCAAGAAAGTAATGTGTAAAAAAATGTAAAAAAAACTTATTATTCTAAAATTATATAAAACAATTATTACATTAAACATTAAAATAAAATATAGATCTATACAGCCCACGAAATTAGAGTTGGGATTCAGCAATTTCATCCTAACTGCTGACCTAAAAGTGTTTGAGATCAGCAAAATTATCGAGCTTGTTTGTATGTCAAAATCTTTTTGCTGTCCTGATGCTAACCTCAGTTTAATGTTAGCAGTTTATCGCCAAAGTCATTTTTCCTAATTTTGAGAGAATATATATGAGTATATACGTTTTTATTTATTTCACTTGAATTTATTTCACTTTTATTTATTTATTTCACTTATTTCACTTAAATGTTTCTATGAATTATAATTTCCAAATTAGATTCAACTTTAAACAGGCCAATTACACAACTTCACTTATATTTTAAAAATTATTTTTTTGTAAATATTTTTTGTTTTTCTAAGATGTTTAACCTCATTACTACTAAGTTTTACAGCAAGGATCCTTGTTGATCACTCTTGACACTTCATTTATTCAAGGCTTTTTATATGGATAACAAAATCAAACAGAAAACTCCAGAAAAGGTCTTGTATAAATTTATAATGTCACAGATCAATATTGTCAGTTTCAAAACAATTTTAACTTCACAACAATCAAACTCACAAAGATTTACAATGATCTATTGTAAACATGTTAAAAATATCAAAATACAAGTTACAAATTAAAAGCCATATTAAAATAAAGACTATTGCAATTTTCATTAACTTCGAGTATACTAAATATAATAAAATCTTCTTTAGTCTGGTAAAGAAAATTTATAGAATGAAAAAAAAATTGATATTAACAAAAAGATCAAAAAAATTAAAAAAACAAACAAACAAACAAAATAATAAAGATTCAACAAAAAAATACAAGAAGATTATATTTTTAAAAAACCACCATTTGTTTCTTAATTTTACATTATATTATTTTTACTATACAACATTATTATAAATAACTTAGGATTGCTTAAATAAGATAACAATAAAATAATTATTATTTTGTTAATAAATCAATAAATAAATTTTTTTTTATGATCAACCCCAAAATATATTTACAATAGTATAGTATTGGACATTTTTATACAAGCACATAAGTTTCCTCGATATGATCACTATCTTCTTTATCTGAAAAAATAAAAGAATCAGAACTTGATTCCAAAAAGTTTTTTATTATTGATGCACTAGGATCAGTTTGTACTTGGTCAATAAAGACTATGCCAACACTATTAGAATCAACAAATTTATTTTTATCTTCAATAACATAGTTGGCCTCACA